ATATTCTAACAATCACACCAGTAGTAACAATAATATAGGCCTACGCCTGACCATCGTATTCTTGCTGATGGGCGAACAATTAATGCTCATATATGACAATAAATGCCATCTTGAATCTTGGGGTGTAAAATGCAAGTGTGATACATTTATACGTTAGAATACTCTTCATGCTAGTGGTGTAGTAGGCCTATCTAATTCATCGACGAATCAAATGAATCGTAGTAAAGCGTTTGGGTGGTATATTAAACTTTCTGCGCAAGTTTCTTGGCAACAAATTCCAACCAATCACAGAGCATAAAAAAAATTACTGCAGTAAATTTAAGTTACCGCTGCGAGTTTAGCGCCCTCCATCCACATCAGAGGCCAGAGAACTCGCTGCAGTAAATTTCTTACTGCAGTTCAAGAACCGAATACTGAGCGATATCGCACTCCATAGGAGCCGTACATATTGGTCTAAGGATGAGGGTGAAATGTTGGGGTAAAAGGTCAAGGTTTATATAAACTAGTATGCATACACTTCTTTGAGTGCCTGCTCTATTTTGTGTTAATAGTTTTATTGCATGTAAAAATCATATTTATAATTAAAAGTGTTTTTGTAATAATTGTTTATAGCACATGATAGTATCTTTGGTGTGAAGAAACACTTCCACTGGTGATAAAGATGATATGAATTTTATCCCTAATATCATAATTCTTAAAGAATATAGTTATGAATTATATTCATAATGATTATTAAAGCTAAACCAAGGAATAACAACAAGTGAACTTAATTGCAACATATCAGTAGTTCTGCTATATTTTATCATTACTATGCCACTTTTGATCATACAGACATGACTGAAATGTTCCCTGTCCTTAATGTCAAAGGATTCTTTATTATTGTTATTGATATTATTCAAATTAGTTTTGGTTTGTTTGTTTGTTTTTTTTTTAATAGATAAATTAATATGTTAATGTTTTATTTATTCTTAAGTGTACAAGACAACCTGAAGAAAAAATTGAAAATATATACAAGAAAACTTTGGGATGTTCCTCAGGTAAGGAACATTACAGTATATATAACTTATAGCAAATTTTGGAATGTGGGGAGAAAAAAGAAAACTTAATGAATAATTATATTATTATAAATATCAACATGACAAATTTATTATGATTATGTGATGAAAATAATATATTAGTTTTTTTTTTCAATATGTTTTCTGGTAGGTTTGTATTATCATGAACTTGATGTGGAAACGATTGATTGGTTGACATTGCTGCTTAACCCACACAAAAATCCAGACCCACCAATTAAGTATTGGATACACCTTGCAAGTAAACTTGGTACAGACCAGGCCACGATAAATTCTCTTGGGACATACAAACGTTTTCATGAGTATCTATTTACGAAAGATGTGTCAATGCAAATATTTTTAGAAGCTCTGTGGACAGTTGGAAATCATCAGGCGACTAAAGTTGTCTGCAAGGCAGTGATGAAAATGCACAAAAATAGAAATTAAATGATTAAAATGAATGGTGAGTTTATGTTTGTTTAAAAAATGATTTCAGTAAACTTCTGTTCACACTTGTCTTCCTTGATAAATATTTGTGATATGTCCATATGATTGGTGGTGTCATATCACACTCATAGTGTGAAAAAAGCCTAAGGCATAATTTTTGGGATGACAAGGTGATCTGAAAATGTCGACAGTCTTCACTAGATAGTTTCTCAATATGAAATAGGGAAGGAAATTTATAAATTTGTAAATTCATTATTTTATTCTTTATACTGCCAAACATGTAATTGTTGTATTGTCTTTATGCCAGCATATTTTAACATAAATGTCACTCATATATGATACAGTATTTGTCCCATATGTTCATAAGCCCCTATCGCAGTGGACTTAATTTGGTCAAATTAACCGAGTCACTGGCTAAATTTACAAAAAAAAATCCAATCCGAACGTCGGTTACAATTCCCTCAGGGTTAAATTAACCAAGCCGAATGGTTAATTTTACCCACCTCAGCCTGCCCAGTAAAACTTACCACGGTCTCGGTTAAATTAACCATGTTGGTCAAGAAGTCCAATCCGAAGGTGCAACATGGTTAAAACTTCTTCCATGTTGACACCGCTCGAACAAAACTGGAAGTTGAAGTCACAAACTAGCGCCCTCAATAATATTTTTTATACACAAGGTTAAATCTTGGTAAAACTATGGTAAAACTAACCGCGTGAATAATCCAAGTGCGAACAATGGTGAAATGTACCCATGACTTAGGTTAAAGTTACCCTGGTTAAATTTACCATTTTTTAAATCCAGTGCGAACAAGGTTATAGTGTGAACATAGCTAAATTACATTCCTTGATGGGAGCTAACATGTCAATCAATTCTATTATTTATTTACTTTTTTTTGAATGAATTACCCGATCAATTGAAAAATCTTCTAAGTGCTTTATAAATATATAATTACATTTGTTTCTTGCATTTTCCGAATCTGAAATATATGCTTAGTTTGATTTTATATTCTATATTTTTTATTTTCTTTCTGATATTTTTAATTTATCATCTCATTGAATAAGTTAATTATTGAGACACATTTGTTGTTGTGTATGAGACCTCGCATTAAAAACTTATTACAGTGGGGTACCTTTTTCACAATACTGTGGTATTTAATATATAGTTTACTGTATTGTGAAATATTAAATATTTACAGTACTGTTCACAGGGGTCCCAAGTTGAAAGAAGTCTCTTCTGTGAGATCCGGTAAATGAGCTTTTTGAACATATATTTTATTTTATTTTGCTGCGAATGGTGATACCTATTGGCACTGACTTCCATGAAACAATTGAAAATATTTTGAATTTGAGAGAGATGGGTTATTTTCCGGGAGGTTCTTGCGGGTGTGCGGGAGGCCATTCAGATTTCCAGGCGACTTCCAACTTGGGATGCCCTTGTTTCTGTTAATACCTATGTATAAAATTATAGTATATTATGTTGCATTATGATAAACAAGATGTATATCTATTTATTCTTCAGATATGGACAATAGTGTCAAAGAATTACAGTATATTATAGATATTTTTTAAAAATATATTTTTGAAATAATGAATGTTGATGGATAGGTTAATAAAAATACAAGGCTAAGTAATCAGCTAAAGACACTGTTGGAATGCTGCCACCATCAGCTCTCTTAATCATTCTGCTTTATAGGATTTATAATTTGTTTGCCTTTGCCTACTTGTTATATAAAATTGAGTTTATTCATGGTTTGGTGGTAAGATACCCATCCTTCAATCCAGGGTCCTGGGTTTAAATGCTGTTAAATCTGTTCTCGTGATTTGATTTATGTGCAGTACATTATTCAAAATGCTACTATGCATGCTGTGGAAGCATAAGAAAAATGATGGTTTTCTGTGAATTTGCTGCCGGTCCGATTTTGCATTTTGAGCGTATTCTGGTACACACTGGTCTCATTCGAAGTTTTATAATTAACGGATCAGTGGTGGATCTGAGGCATCTTCATGCCATGCTATTGGGAGCCATCGTGATTTCAATCTAACTACTGCCGCACATATACTCTGTTTACTTGAGTAACAATAAATAATAATGGGTGTACTCGTAACCTAACACTCAAAAATGCGACCTTAGACCAGAGCAGCTCTGAGAAATTTGACCATCATACTATATTATAAAAAGTTATTCTTGCAATTGCAAAGACAAATAACAGAAAAATGTCTACAAAATGTATGGCTTGATTCTTACCGTATTTATTCAAATAAACGCCCCGGGGCGTGTATTGTTAAGAAGGGTTTTTGAGGGAGCGTCTATTTGAGGGAGCCAAATTCGAAGGAGGCGTTTATTTGTTTTGGTGCAAAATGGATATGTATACTCAGATATACGCCCCTTATTTCACTGTTAATGTAATGATACAGCATTACTGACAAAAAATGTGTTATTGCGTGATCATACTGACTTATTGATCCCAACCATGTTAGAAAAGATGTAATTCTGCAGAACATTAATTGAATGTGTTGAGAATGATGTTGCTTCCATTGGATTTGTTTAGTCATTTAGGGTGAAGGGGGAAGGGGGGGAGCGTGATTTATTAGAGGAAAATAAGAGCCTTGGGTCGTTCATTCGAGGGAGGCGTTTATTCTAAATGAGGTTCTAGATGGGGCGTTTATTCAAAGCTGGGTGTTTATTCAAAAATAAATACGGTAATTACGTTGTCTGCAAATTTTTCATGGATGTCCTTAATATCTTTGATAGTTAATTTACACATTTGAAATGTGTAGATGTTTCTGAAGAGAGATATAATTGGTTTTTTGTTTTGATTCATTCTGTTCTAAAGTTTTGTATCAAAATGAAAGGCAGCCAAACTCTAATTTGAATTAGAGTGGGGGTATTAATCTATTTAGTAAGGTCATTTAAACTTATTGAGTGACAGCTGAAATGGGTTAAAATGAGGACTGATGAATTTACAAGTGTTGGACATTCCAAATCAAACCATGAAAAAGTACTAAACATGGTTTTTGTAATTTAAATACAGTATACATTTTTATAAAGTAATAATTTTGCTTCCACTGTGCAAACGTATTCAGTAATTGAGTCTGTTTTGTGTATAGCAACCTGCATTAAATGTATACCATACTGCCATCTAAAATCGAATACTAAAGATTGAATTTCTAATTTTTTTATCAGTAGGTTAACTTTTAACTGAAAAAAGAAATCCCTTACCATGAACATTTAAGTACTCTAATATGATTCATTTATTCTTTTTATTATATGTAGTAAAATATTTGTAAATCATTAGTTTATTTCAATATTGAGACTTGTTTGGTAACTTGTTATTTTGATTTTCTTGACGTTTAGGGTGTTAATTATATTTAGATCTGTCTAAACGTCCTATCAGTTGTTGACTCTTTGTTTCTGAGTGCAGTGAGTATGTACTGCAGACACTACGTCCCTACCAAATCACATGCTTGAAACTTTGTCTCAGAAATACTGGCATAGTGTCCGATATGGGGTAGTTTTGCATCTACTGTATATATTGTATTTTAAAGTAGTTAAGATTCTGTTTAGCTGTTGTCCTAGGTAAGACGTTAAACTACATCCGGTTGAGTTAAGGCGAATATAGTGGCATCCTCTTTGGAAGGGCACTCCTCGGAGTCAATGACCAACCATGTAGAATTATTTTTGTTTTTGTTAAACATTGTTCATTTATTTCTTAATATTTACATTCAAGTACATACTGTTGGATTATGTGCTATATAAATACATTATGAGGCACATTTCTTTTACAATTTAATAATGGTAGTTACCGCAAGACGGTTTAGAGTTAATCATTATATGTACTGTAACATTTCTTATAATATGGAAAAAGTATCTCTTTAGAGAATATGTCATCGTCTGTATTTTAAGGTATTTAAGATTTTGATCAGCTGTTGTCCTGGATATGACGTTAAACTAACATTTGTTATGTAAAATAATGAAGTGGGGAGACTCGATGATTAAGTGATTGGGGGCCTCTAGCTCGCTAAGTAAGGTGATATGAGGTGATTTTTATGTACAGGACTTGAGTGGGATTTCTTGCTTCGAACATTTTTAATGGAGGTTGGGGTTTTTTAAGGGGCAACCTGCGCACCCCTAGATACGCCACTGTAATCATATGTCGACTGAAGTTTCTGAAGTAGTATGTACTTAGTGTGCATACCCTTGTTGGCTGTAGACAGTGTCAAGTACAGTATAGACACTGGCATTTGCCAATTCATGGGTATGGGGGTGTATATTATGTCTGTCTCTATTCAACTGTATTCCTTCCCAAGGGTCATCTCAATGATCAGTGGCGGATTCAGGGTCCTCCCTTATAAATTTTTCAAAAATATTTTTTAAAAATGGAGAAAAAAAGAAAATTATATTCGGCCATCTGCCATACTTCAGCCCCAACTATGGTGGGGCTCAGATGGTTTAGTCCCTTCATCTGTCAAAGTACCTCCATTTTGAACTCATGGATCCGCCACTGATGTCATCCTAAAGTCAGTTCTGTGTGTTGATATTGAAATGTATTGAAGTGTTTTGTATTACATACCGGTAACACTTTTTAGAGTGTTGACTACGTATTCTTGCTGTAATATTTCATGTATTCTTATATTGTATTCCGACCTAAGTTGTCAATTAAATGCTTCAATTCTTGTACATACACTAGTGTGTCGTTCTCATTCTGTGCTATTACACTCAGACATATTTTTTTAAAAATTATGATCATAAGGGATGAAATCTAGTCTTAATATATATGGGTTTAGCTATAGGAAAATGATAGCAATCACAGACAAAAAAAAAACACGAATTGAGTAATAGTGCTTAAATATGAGAGGAGTAGTCCATGGCTGGGCCAAATGAGTGGACATGTCCCCCATTTGTAGATTATTTCGTAAAAAGTAAGCCTCTTTTAGGCGCTACCCGAAGGTACCTTTCACTGCATGTTACTGTTTTAGTAGACCTACTTGGTCAGAGGGCTTTTAAATCTATATCTAGGATTTAAGATAAGTTTGGAGATGACAACCACCCTATTCCCTAATTTGTTATTATGTTTCTTGCCATGAGTTTATTGATTAAGTTTTCAATAGCATGTTCGTTTGCCCCTCCCCTTGATCCATATCCCCCAGCATCTGCCTTAATCCTGTCTCTTATACACATCTAGATGTGTATAAGAGACAGACTTATTTCCAATGGGGTCTCACATAAAACAAGTGTGAAAAAAAGGTGAAAGAACTTTGACAGCCTACAGCATCAATAACTAAAATTATTTTCAAAATTTAAGGAATTTTTGCACTCCAGATGACACTGTATATGCTGAGCCTCCATCGTGTTTTTAGTATTAAAATATTTAAATGGAAAAAAGGCCGTCGACAGTTAATTTTATGATAGGGAAAAATAATAAGATATACCAATAGTACAATCTGATATGGTGAATTTATGACACAGTCACATTAACAACTATAATTGTCATGACGGCATTTTAACGACTTCCTGTATAAGAAGTTTAAGCTTGAAGCCGCATAAGCATTCTAGGTTATTAAAGATTATTTAAATTTAGATACCAGAGCCCACATACTCCACGCATCATAGGAGATCGTTGAATCATAGTTCCCCCTCCAATTCCAGATCACATTAAATGGGACCTTAAAATTGGAATGCCATCGGAGTTCGGTCTCCAATTTGAGATATATCTGGTTTAATATCAGGGGTGGCGCCAGGATTTGCCCGACGGGTGGGTTGCCGAGGTCCGGGACGGGGGGGGGGGCGATGCCCCCGACGAAGTGTCGGATTTCCCCGACGAAAGCAAAGTGGGCGTGGTCGAGCTTTGATTAAAAGGTTCCGAAACTGGTCCTGGTGGGAAGCCCCCGAAATTTTCGACAATTTAGGGGTTTCAAAGGCTTATTTAATCGATTTTAGGTTCTACTAATATGTAAAAAATACATATAATATTTTTTTCTCCCCGACGAATTGTGCTTTTTTTCCCCGTCGGGGGGAGGGGGAAGCTCTCCCCGACGAAGGGGGCCCTGCCCCCCGTCCCCCCTCTGGCGCCACCCCTGTTTAATATTATAGATTTTGAAATTTCTATAGCGCCAGTTAAAACGGAAGAAGCTGTCACTACCACGGCTTTACAATATAATACACAATATAGAGCAGAACTACTGATAATAATAATGGTAATAATAAAATAATAACAATAATAACGATAATGATAATAATAAGCCTAACAAGAATAAGAAAATAATAAGAATAATGGTAATAAGAAGACAAATAATAATAAAATCAAATGAAAATTAAAAATAAATATATAATAAAGAGAATAAAATAATAAAAACAATGAAAATTTGAAAGTTTATTGTTGTTGAAGTCAAACTGAAACTAAGGCGGAAAAGCAAGGGTAAAGAGAAAAGATTTGAGGTGATATTTAAAATGGTTTTATCATGTTTTTTATATCTATTATATGTATGATAGAGAAACAATATTGCGCAACTCTCGTGTATGACTGGAGCTATACGTGTAGTGGTCTTTGGTACAAAAATCACTATAGCTAGTCTTTGTTAAAATCATTACTAATTATTCTCTTTAAAAGTCATCTAGAAAATATAATATTAAGTGGCGAAAATGTTTGTTTCTCCTAGAGTTATTATATTCCTAGAATTTCTTTAAAAAAAAAGTGATGATAATGGTTACATTGCATCGACACGGACAGGGGTGGCGCCAGGATTTGCCCGACGTGGGTCCAATGTCCCCGACGAAAAAAAAGTGAGCGTGGTCGGGCGTCGCCCAAAACCTCTCGAAAGTGTCCCATGGGGGTGAAGCCCCCAAAAATAGGACAATTTAGAGGTTTCGATTGTTTATTTAGTCAATTTTAGAGTAATAATTTGTAGAATAAAAATACATTTTTTCCTTTCCCCCAAAGAATTGCTTTTTTTCTCCCCGAAGGATGGAGGGAGCTCTCCCCGACGGGAGGGGCCCTTCCCTTGCTGGCGCCACTTCTGGACACGAATTGAGTAATAGTGCTTAAATATGAGAGGAGTAGTCCATGGCTGGGCCAAATGAGTGGGCATGTCCCCCATTTGTAGATTATTTCGTAAAAAGTAAGCCTCTATTAGGCGCTACCCGAAGGTACCTTTCACTGCATGTTACTGTTTTAGTAGACCTACTTGGTCAGAGGGCTTTTAAATCTATATCTAGGATTTAAGATAAGTTTGGAGATGACAACCACCCTATTCCCTAATTTGTTATTATGTTTCTTGCCATGAGTTTATTGATTAAGTTTTCAATAGCATGTTCGTTTGCCCCTCCCCTTGATCCATATCCCCCAGCATCTGCCTTAATCCCTGTTGCAATATCAGTTGCAGTTGAATAGTGCTTGAACCACTCCTCCCGAGCGTGGTATCCAAAATCTCGGTCATAGACTCTCACCTGTTATTGAAAAGATACACATATCTGTTTTGTTTAATCCATTTTTAAATAACTAGTAGTTAATGTATACATATTATGACCAGTGGTGGTGCCAGGATTTGCCCGATGGGGAGTCCGAGGTCCCCGACGGGAGGTGGGTGGAGATTTCCTCCACGAAAAAAGTGGGCGTGGTTGATCGTCGCTCAATATCTCTTGAAAGTGGTTCCATGGAGGAAAGTACATTTTGTGGTTTTCTCAACTAGGGGAGGCCCTTCCCCCGACCCCTCACTGGCGCCACCCCTGGTTATGACTTCGTTACATATTTGTATATAGGCCTATATATGTAACTGGCTGATTTGGGTCGACGCCCGCATCGTAAGGGGTGATTCGTTCGTCTGTCATATCCCAAGTGATGGCGCAAGGATTTGCCCAAAGTGGGCGGGGCCAGCAACGCAAACCCCTTAGTGGGGAGGCCAGGGAGAAATGCCCACGGAAACTGACAATTTTGGGATTCGAAATGTATACTCTATTTTCAAATTTTGTAGAAATTAAATAGAATGTTTTGTTTTTCTTCCGAGGTCCCCGACGGGAGGTGGGTGGAGATTTCCTCGACGAAAAAAGTGGGCGTGGTTGATCGTCGCTCAATATCTCTTGAAAGTGGTTCCATGGAGGAAAATACATTTTGTGGTTTTCTCAACTAGGGGAGGCCCTTCCCCCTGTCTCTTATACACATCTATAGTACAATCTGATATGGTGAATTTATGACACAGTCACATTAACAACTATAATTGTCATGACGGCATTTTAACGACTTCCTGTATAAGAAGTTTAAGCTTGAAGCCGCATAAGCATTTAAATCATCACAGAAAGGCAAATACAGTGTTCGAATACAGTGTCCTTACTCGAGCAATTTTACATTTCTTTGATGATATATATTTATAACAGTGTTAACGGCTACTTTGATTTATATTATATGTGTATATATATACATATATATATATGTGTATATACATATATATATATATGTATATATACATACATAAAAATATGTATACATATACATATAAGCGTGTGTGTGTGTGGGGTGTGTGTGTGTGTGTGTGTGTGTGTGAGTGAGTGAGTGTGCTGCTAATACTTCGGATATCATACCGTTCCACGCCTATTTCGTGCTCCGTTTTGATTGTTTATCTGTTTGTAACCCTCTTTTTGCCAATCTCGAGGCGGTGATGCGGTTGTTAAAATCGTCGCTGGTTGTGTAGTCGGATTTTCTGTCGGTATTGTAGCCGGTTGTGTTGTTGGTATTTTCTCCGTTTGGACGTCTACTATTGGTTTATTTGTATCAACATTGTTATTGGCAATAGGGTCGAGTGCGTTAATGACCAATCCCAAAAGAATAATCGCAAACGCCAGTATTAAAAAATACCGATCCTATTAAGTAGAAAGTGTATTACTATAAATAAATAAAAATATATATCATTTCGTTGAAGAGCTTTTCAGTTCTCTCTACTAAAATGAAAAACCATCGTTGGATGTTGGTAAAAATATCCTTTATGATTCCAGGACCACAATGAAAAACATTTCTTTAAAATGATTGTGTCATCCTGGCTAAAGATATTAGTAAATAAAGAACGAGGAAACGAAAATGATATATCCCTATTGACTCTTTTCATTGCACATCCCATGGTCACCACCACTTTGTTTTCCCTCTTTTGGCAAAAACCACCACATTATTCATCCATATATCATCATAATTTAATGTATACACTTACAATTGATATAGGTCCTAAAGAAATTGTATTTCGTACATTTAGTTGGTTCCTATTATTTTAAAAACTATTTTTACACAAATAATAATTACCACTTGTTGAAAAGTACTGTATATTAATAATAATTACAATAATAATGATAATAATAATAATAACAACAACAATAATAATAACAATAACAATAATAATAATAATATTAATAATAATTGTTAGTTTTGATGAATTGTTTCCGTTTCTTCATGATTTAAGTATAGGCCTACATATAGGCCTATTGTTTGCATTATTAAATTAAATTAAAGGTATCGAGTAAATGAAATATAAATTGTAAGACATGGGTCTGCTGCGTCGCTTCTGACACCATAAGTAGTACCATGAAAAAGCAACGCATAGAATGCACCCTTTAAAATTTTGCGCACCACCCTTTAAATTTCTTGGACAACAATTTATGAAATTCCACCACTCTTTAAAAAAAACCTGGGGGCTGTCTCTTATACACATCTAGATGTGTATAAGAGACAGGTATGTATGTGTGTGTATGTATGTATGTATACGTGACGTAACTGGCTGATTTGGGTCGACGCCCGCATCGTAAGGGGTGATTCGTTCGTCTGTCATATCCCAAGTGATGGCGCAAGGATTTGCCCAAAGTGGGCGGGGCCAGCAACGCAAACCCCTCAGTGGGGAGGCCAGGGAGAAATGCCCACGGAAACTGACAATTTTGGGATTCGAAATGTATATTCGATTTTGAAATTTTGTAGAAATTAAATAGAATGTTTTGTTTTTCTTCCAAGCAACTTCTGTTTTTTCGTCTGCCCCAGGAGGAGACAAGCACCGATGCAGGGGCCTGGCCTCCGTCCTTACTGGCGCCGCCACTGGTTATCACGTTAATATTTTGGACAATATAAATAACAGCATTTGGTACATAAATTTACAATAACAATAAACATAAAATAATGATAATATGACAATATATCTCATCTTATAATGATATGAATACTAAGGATGATGATGAGTGATGATTATATGATGATGATTATGATAATCATGATAATGATATTGATAATGATGAATGATAATATTGATAATTATGATAATGTTTATGATGATGTTGTTGATGATGATCATATCAGTAAACCCTCAATTTTGATTTCCCCTACGCATTATTTAGGCTATAGGTCTTAGCCTATGTCACATTTACGTTTATATTAATTCTAAGGATCAAATCCAAACACAGTGCAAGCTCAGTTGCATAGTGGTGTGACAAGCTAGTAACTCTGGAGTTCGTGGGCACAATTCCCAGATTTTTTTACAGTGTTTCAAACGTACTCGTCAGTTTTGACCAATCAATATAAATAATTCTATAACATAAACTATATAAAATATATAACAATCGGAGTATCGCACCGAAAAATCAAGAAAAACATAGTCTCACCTTCATCTTATGCAAACTTAATAATAATGCTTTTAAATTAGATTAATTCTCACCTTAGTAGGTTTGATTAACCCGATTAGCCCTCTTCGCCGCCAACTCTTAGAGTTTTTTACAATCGACGTTCCTCCGTTGTTGTTAAATGGCGTCAGAATCTCCTTTGCTGTTGGCCTTTCGGTTGGCTCATACTCCAAGCAGCTTAGCAACACCTCGCGGATGTCACACCCATCATCAATTTCTAGATGACCCTTATAGTTAAGCACGTGCTTTATGATATCTTTCAACTTCCATTTATCATAAGGCATTGTCCGGTGGTACAACTCCCACAAGACTATTCCTAAAGAATATATGTCGGATCTGAAGTAATCAATTTTGTCATTTTCATCCATGACTTCTGGTGCCATCCAGAGGATTGTACCTCCTATATTATGTGTCGTGCTGGTGATGTCATTTGTTATTTTCGAGATTCCAAAATCGGTGAGCTTGATGACATCTCCAAAAACTAAATAATTCTTTGATTTGATGTCACGATGCGAGATATTCTGTTGGTGGATGTACTCAACGTCACACACTGCTTGTTTACACCAAGATTGGAAATGCGGTAGGAATTCAGAGGCTGTATTTAAGAATTCATACAAATTTCCATTCGGTGCGTACTCTAGCACTAACACCGTCGACCCAAGGAACTCCTTGGCCGACCCTTCCTCGTCACGGTGGATGATGCCGCGAAGTCGAACGACGTGATCATGCTGCAGGCGTTTCAAGATATCCAACCCCCGTTGCTGTACATTTGTAATATTCTTCACTGCTACAACATCCCCAGTTCTTTTCACATTCCCCTGAAACACAGTTGGTTTGGCACTACTTCCACAGTGCTGCCCTATCTCTATATCCGTGAGTTCGAATATTTGAAAGGTAGCCATGTTCCTTCTAAACACATGCAGTATGTCTTACCGATATTCAATCCAAGGATTTGGGGAGAAAATTCTGGTTTATTGCTCAGATTTCAAATTTCAAAATTCAATTTTCACTTACAATTAATTTCAATTTATTAAAAAAAACCTCCAGTTAAGTAGTAGGCCTAGAAGAACTTCAAATTAATAGAACAATTTCATTAAAACGGACAATTTATTCATACATATACTAGAACAATTAAAATAAAAACCATAAAAAAAATTAGACAAATTCTCAAAATACAAAATTTAATCAAATCAATACGAGGTGAGAACAGAACACCCCTTTAACAGATACAAGCAAAACAACAAACCATGAAAATACTTTAACACACTGAACTACCACCAAGCAAAGACGGATTATTTTACTTGATTCAAAATTCTTTTTGCATTTAAATTTCTATTTTTATTATTAATAATAATAATAATAATAATAATAATAATTATTATTATTATTTAAACAAAAGCTCGCCCTTGACAAACAGCAGTGGAAATGATAATAGCTAAAAAGGTGATAAAAGTTCCTTAATAAGTTGCTCAAAATCTGTCAATATAACAGGAGTGTCCCCTTCATAGCGGTTGGCCGCAGTGTTAAAAGATATATTGCCCTCGTTTCACGGAAAAGTGTCCCCTTAATAGGGGTGTCCCCTGAATAGGGATGTCTCAAAGGAGGGGTTTAGTATTAGTTTTCAACAAAATAATTAGAATGAGAAAAAAATTCTTCGCGAAATTAACGTACGTTGAACGTCACCTTTACATTTATTTAAATCATTTTAGCGAATGCCAGTGTACCAACTCAACAGTTTGAACCCAGTTTGCTCAATGTCAAATGACGGCTCCATATTTTGCCCATCCCTAGTTATTTTTAAGAATTACCGGATTATATACAAAATTATTAAAACAACAAATTACACAGAAATGCATAAGTTTGTAGAACGTCTTTATGCGACCAAAAGAGCGGCACATTTTCATGCAGGGGGGGGGGGGGAAGGGGGGAGGGTTAGGCCTTTGGATCATCGTGGTACCTCCTTCATTTCTCCGCGAAGCCCCTGGCCCCCCAGTCCAAATGAACTTGGAGGGCCCTCCTACTTATAAACAGCACTCTTCTAACACAGCCTTGATATTATCATTCAGTACGGTAGTCTGAGACACCAAAAACTAGCAAATTAAAACAAAATATCACATTTTTAACTCAAGAATGTCTTTAGTGGAATCACATAACAACACTTCCATTATACAATGTCAAATTAATTAACTTGTTAGTTTACTTCATTTTCCTTTCTGATAAATGTATTAGAAATTTTAAATTTGAATTTTGGTGATTTTGTTTTGTATACATTAATTTTAAATGGAATTAGGGTCACTCTGGGGATTGCCAGGGCCATATTGCGGCATCATATCCTAATGATATTTTGATAAGGACAAGTGTTGGATGGGAGTGACCTTGTCAATTACTTGAGTGACGTTAATTGTATTGTAATTAAGACCTTGTTATCATTATATTGTCTGTGTGTCATAAATTTCATGTTAACTTAATTTGGACGCACCATTATCATGTAAATTGTGCTACTTTTTCAAAACTGTAGTTTCCTAATAAATTATAATAAATATTGTAACAAATTCTGACACAAAATGTTCGACAGGCCAACTCGACTACAAACTGACATTTTGATACTCGAAAAAATAAAGTAAATGGCTACAATAATTTATATTATAAGAATTCGAATTAAATAATTAATATGACACTACGGTTTGTTTGATATTTAACTGTGAAGGGGCCCCCCCCCCCTCTCAATCGAATACTAAAATGCATGGCTCCCAACAGTTTCTCGCCCAATGAACCGTCGTTACGCACACACACTTGAATTGCACTTTTGTTTACTATAATTTAATTTTCTTTTTTTATCGTTCGTAATAAATAACTTGTTCACGATCTTTTCTTTTCCTTCGCATCCAACAGCAAGTAAACTCGCTATTAATACAGGATGGAATAATGCTTCATAAACCAAGTGTCTGAGGCTTAGGGAGTAGAGCAGTTTTCAGTCATGGGAAAAAGTCCTACACTTGGATAGAAATTGAACCCAGGACCATGGGTTTAGAAGGCAGGTAACCACAAAGCTATTCAACTCCACTCCGAAGAGGTCTCTGAAGAGATTATGCGACCTATTATATTGTTTCCGCTTACTATAGGTACGTTGCGTAACGATGATTTATGGGTTATGCGAAGACATAGATAGGGCCTATATATAAAAATAAAGAAAAAATGCTTTCTTGTTATATTTTTCAGAAAAGTCAAACACACTGCAAGGAATAAAACTAACACTTTCAAGTTGTCATACCTGAAGTACAAATATTTTGATAGCATAATATTATATATATCATATATATATATATATATATATATGAGAAAATTTAGGAAAATAGTTAAAATCGCTAGTAAACTTATTGGTATTAACGTTAAATCGTTAGAAGAAATTGCAAAAGAAGCTGTAAAGCAAAAAAAAAATGGAAGTAATTATCGCCGATAAAAAGCCATCCACTTATTAAATATGTTGTGCTCAATAAGAGTTAAGTGGAAGAATCCGTTTTTCTTCTGATTAAAATTAACCGGCTGCGTTACTCTTTTCTTCCATCGGCCATGAGGCTACATAATGTAAACATTGTCAGGTGAATATATCTCATACCGGAGTTATGGATCATATGAATGACATAAACCTGATTGAATGAACCTATGCATGAATGAATTTGAATGGATAATTCTGTTATTCTTGGTAAATTTTTAACTTTTTAGTCTTTTACATAGTTATTTTTTTAAGGCTTACTCTTTGTATTTTGTACTGTTTGTAACTTTTACTCTATACGTGTTCCATTTTACCATCTGTTTTTACCCATTTGTTTGTATGACCTGTAATGTGCATATTTTTCCCCTTTTTCATATTTGTGTTTTAATCTGTGACAAACAAAGCAAATTTCAAGCCATTTTATGAGTTTGACTAGTAAATTGAATTGAATTGAAAATATTTAACATAAACCTATGATAACACACATGCATTACAAAAGTAAACTGCACTTAACTGTAATTGCGTTTGCCGTTGTTAACTAAACGACATAATGTTAGCAGCATGTCGTAGTTTCTCTCGCTACCCTCATATCAGGTCTAGGCCAATTGCTCATACTCCAGTGTATGGCCGGCATAGGTCTAAGCGTGGGTACACATATAACAATCACTGTATTATGTTTAAAGTCATACTAATCATAATTTGTTTAGCAAATATTAAATCCGGCGCATCTCCCTAGTGCTTTAATATGTTTTGTGCAATGAGTTTATTGATTAGGTTTTCAATAGCATGCTCGTTTGCCCCTCCCCTGGATCCTTGTCCCCCAGCATCTGCCTTAATTCCTGTTGCAACATCGGTTATAGTTGAATAGTACTTGAGCCATTTTCTCTCAGACAATCCGAAATCGGTAAGCTTAATTGCTGTCTCTTATACACATCTAGATGTGTATAAGAGACAGTCATACCGTTCCACGCTTGTTTCCTTTTTTGTTTTGAATTTTCATCTGTCTGAGACCCTCTTTTTGCCAATCTCTAATGGGTGGTGTGGTCGTGTTTGGTTGTGTAGCCGGTGGTGTAGGTGGTTCTGGTGTAGGCGGTTGGACGTCTGGTATCGAAGGATTAATTATATCGATACTGGAAATAGGAACGAATGAGTTAATGACAAATCCCAACAGAACAATCACAAAGGCTGGTATCAGCCAATACCCATAGAACACCTGTTAAGTAGAAAGATAAATGAATTTGTAATAAATAAGTTTATGTAAAATTGTCTAATCTCCATCATGGAACTTAAAAGTGAAAAGTAAAATTTATAAAAAAAAAAAAAAAAAAAAAAAAAAAAAACAAAAAACATTTGTGTGTACATCATGTTAACTGCCATTTGGAAAAAAATCATAGAGACGAAAATGTTGATCTGATGATTATGGTGATAACGACGTCTGGTATTATCTACATTTACCTAACCCGCTGAACCATAAAACTAGGCAAATACTCCCCAGCAAATGTAACAAGTTTCGAGCACAAAGTGCAACGTTATCGTTATAGTAATGTTAAAGTATTAGCTGTTGGTTATGGGTTCAATTCCCATCCAATCAATTGCATTTACACTTTATAAGCAAATAAAGTGCACCCTTATTCGAGACCACTTTTTCAAAGAACCAAATAACAATCTTTTTACACAAAGTTAACCCTCTAGTTGGAGACCAGCTCCAAAGACTGTCCAGAATTGTCAGGTCCAGAAAACAGAAAACTTCACGTCCATCTTCATGCAAACTTCCAAGAAATATTATTTAACTAATAATTATTATTATGCTCGCAGTTCAGTGGTAGAATCCTGGAATTTGAAATAGTGGGGACCAAGGAATTGCAAATGCAGGCCAGAATATCCTCAGCCCCAGCCAATTGTCTATGGCACTTTGCCTGAAATAGCTTTCTAAATATTTGAATGTGAATGTGATTTCTTTTTCCACATTTTCAAAATAATTTAAAGGGCCTGTACCGGCTTCCCCCTGCTTAGATTGATCCTCACCTGACTTGATGCTCTTTGCCCTATTGGCCTTGGTTTTTTATTTTTTCTGATAATCGAGGCACACTGGTCGCTGTTAAGTGTCGTCAAGATCTCCTCTGCTGTTGGCCTTTGGGTTGGCTCATTCTCCCAGCTTCTTAGCAACAGCTCGCGAATGTCACATTCATCATCAATTTCTAGATGACACTTATTCACAACCACGTGCTTTATTATATCTTTCAATTTCCATTTATTATAAGGTTTCTTTCGGTGGTACAGCTCCCATAAGACTATTCCCAACGAATATATGTCGGATTTAAAGTGATCTACGTTGTCCACTTCGTCCATGACTTCTGGCGACATCCAAAGAATTGTACCTCCAAGATTTTGTGTTAGGTTGGTAAAATCGCCTTTTATTTTCGACAATCCGAAATCGGTAAGCTTAATTGAATCGCCAAAAACTAAATAACTTTTTGATTTGATGTCACCATGTGAGATATTTTGCTCATGAATGAACGCAACAGCACACACTGCTTGTTTGCACCAAGTTAGGTAATGTGGTAGAAATTCTGTGACTGTATTCAAATATTCATACAAGTTTCCGTTTGATGTGTATTCTAGCACCAACTCTGTCGGCACTACTCCTCCACACTCGATGGTTCCGAGCAGTCGAACGACGTGATCATGCTGTAAGCGTTTCAAAATCTCCAGCTCCTGTTGTCGTAGGTCTGAGTTTGGGACATTCTTCACTGCCACTGTATCTCCGGTACTTTTCATCCTCGCTTGGAACACAATGGGTTTGGTACTACAGTGTTGTCCAATCTCTAAATCTTGAGGTTGGAATATCTGAAACGGGACTTGAGACACAGCCATTTTGTCAACTAAGCTGATTTCACATAACGTTGCAAATATGTTATGCATGATTAAATAATTTCACGGAAGGAAGTTTCAAATAGGTCTATAATAATGTCCTGTACCGGTTCAATCGGCAAAATTGATTTTTAATTATATACATTTGAATGCTGTCGAGCATGTTTTCAACAGATACACTTTTGCCTTTGGTCTACACGAGTTGATCGGAAAAGTTAAATCGAAATTTAATTTAATTTAAATTTTACAGCAGGTAGACAAAAGTGGAAGGTTAGAGATCATATTATTATTATTTTAGTTTTAATAGGTCAGGTATAAGACTTCGCCTTCCACGCACATCACGCTGCCGTTTTAGAAATTCATTTGTGCCAAATTCCATACAAAATTGTAGTGTAATGAAATAAGATATGAAAAATTAATTTTAAAATTTATATGTTTTATCATTTTCTTTTGTACAGTATTTAATGTTTTATGTTTTTGTCATACCGTTTTTCGCAAGTTGTCTTTTTAAATGCTATATGATTTGTATGCCAAAATGTCTTTGTATTTGTATTTGAAGACAAATGAAGTTTCTTGTATCTTGTAGCTTATACCTTATACCAAGAATAGTATACTATAGTTGAATTATATACGGTATTGTTTCCAGATTTCCAGGGGCGGATCCAGAATTCTTTAAATGGTGGGGGGGGGGGGGGGATCGGCATGTATTTGAATTCTATTTCTTTTTATTTCAATACATGTCACTGTCATGTATTGAAAATGTTGGAGGGAGGGGAACATGCCACCCCCATTCACCCTTGGATCCGCTTTTGTGGTTTACTTCTGTTTCTTCAGAGAAAAAAAATCCTTAAAAGTATCTAAATAGGACGATCAACACACAGACCGGCAGGTACTAAGCCTATACGGTAATATCTCTTGTCTATTTCTATTTATAGGTATCTAAAATTTCCTGTGAAATCATGCATGAAATAATATATAACGCTGATGAATTAGCTTCACAGGCGACATGGCTGCCTTTCAAAACCCGTTTCAAATATTCCAACCGATTGACATAGAGATCATACAGCACTGTGGAAGTAGTACCAAACTCAGTGTGTTTCAGGGGAAGGTAAAAAGTACCGGACTTGCAGTGGCGATAAAAAATATTACAAATGTAGGCCTACGGCAACAGGAGCTGGATGACTTGAAACGTTTACAGCATGATCACGTCGTTAGACTGCTCGGTACGATTGACCCTGGCAGTGGAGTGCCAACTGAGTTAGTGCTAGAATACGCACCGAACGGAAACTTGTATGAATTCTTGAACACAGCTACTGAATCTCTACCACGTTACTTAACTTGGTGTAAACAAGCAGTGTGTGCTGTTAGGTACATCCACCAGCAGAATGTCGCACACCGCAACATCAAATCCAAAAAATATTTAGTTTTTGGAGATGTCATTAAGCTCGCTGATGTCGGTTTATCGAAAAAAACAAACGACTTTACCAGCGAAAGAATTACAAGTAATCTTGGAAGTGCAGTGTCTTGGATGTCACCAGAAGTCATGGATGAAAATGACAACGTCGATCACTTTAAATCCGACATATATTCTTTAGGAATAGTCTTGTGGGAGTTGCACTATCGCAAGAAGCCTTATGATAAATGGAAGTTAAAAGATATCATAAAGCACGTGATTAATTGTAAGGGTCATCCAGAAATTGATAATGGATGTGACATCCACGAGCTGTTGCTAAGCTGCTGGAAGTATGAACCAAACCAAAGGCCAACTGCAGAGGAGATTCTGACGTCACTGGGCAAAAACAAAGGGACTGCGATTATTCAAAACAGTAAGGTGAGAATTTATCCAGGAATGTTTATAGGCATTTATGACATTTGTAGGCCTAGCGCATACACGATTGATAAGTATTCATGTGTCCAAACAATACTAATAATATGAATACAGTATGTTATATTTTGATGTTTACTCATCTTCAGTGTCTGTTCACTCAAAGAATTGATTATCATATGAATGAGATTAATTATGTTCATTTTTACTGCGTATCAGTACATAACGTTGAATAGTATGGAACTATTATTTCTGTTGAGGCTTGGAAATATTAGATCATGCGCCTTTCAGTTGGCAAGCTAATGTGATGCGACTACGCTGTGATTGTACATTGTTTATGAATAAAGTCTATTATATATAATTTGTTTAGGCTTGGCTGGTTAAGGCATAGTTCAAGATTACTTTACAGGCTGGTATCTATAATAATAATAATAATAATAATAATAATAATAATAATAATAATAATAATAATAATAATAATAATGATCGTGATCATTCATGGCCATTATCATGATTAATAATAAATAATGAAATTTATGATGCGCAAAAGACAGTTAGTTTCGAGGCGCACAGAATTCCCAGTTCTGGGGCGGATTGATATAAGCGGTCTTTAGACGGTCTTATAACGGTTAGCCGGCTATAATCGTGACGTCACTACTGGTCTATGATTATAGACCATTTCTATACCGCAGTCTAACCAGTTAGCCGTCTTAAATTTTAAAGCCTACTCGCAATAGGCTTAAACGGTCTTAAATCATTTTCATCATGTCGTTCTACTGATTAATTCAACAGTGCAATGGCAAGACCTAGGCATAGATCGTCAAAGTCGGAGAACTGAACGACGAATTTTCCGCACGCTTCTCTCAGCGTCTGTAAAAATAGGTCTACGTTTATTTACGTTCATTTCGATACATTTGCGTATGCGTCGAGCACGCATGACGTCGCTCCCAATCTTGAGTGCTTGTTCGCGTTTCAATACTCGAAGCGGTCTTAGGGAAGACTGTTTTATAGCAATGGTCTTAGAGGAATGACTTTACTAAGACCGTCTAAGTGATAAAGCCGGCTTTATTCGAGGAGTTACTAAGACTACCAATTAAGACCGTTTTATAGCAATCCGCCCCTGTAAACAAATCAAAAGAAAAGATGCGTTTTGAGTTTTGTATGTTGACAGATGTTAATACACGGATTTCATATGGAGTTTTTTTTTTAGCTGCAACAGAAAAGACCTGTCCCCCATTATAAAGATGTTTTAATGCGTGGTCCAGGTTTCAGTATGGAGTTGGTTAGATGAACTCCATCTATATGGGGTTCGATGGGTGCGTACATATTTATCGGCTGTTTCATGTTAATGCTACATTTTATTGTTTCTTGTCACAGATTCCTCATGTACCTAACCCAAACACAAGCCTGCCTATAAGGTCACTTCCACCAGTCCAGCCACCTGGAATACCACCAACTGGAGCAACAGTATTACCCGCAAATCCATATCCAGGTACTAGCAAAATTTAAGCCTAACTAGCAATTCAAATTCAAGCCTAACATCTGTCTCTTATACACATCTAGATGTGTATAAGAGACAGATGACATTTGTAGGCCTAGCGCATACCCGATTGATAAGACAGATATATATATATATATATATATATATATATAATATTTTTTAAAGCCTATAAATTGTCCCGTGTTAAAACATGTTATAGCATTATAATTATCACATGGATTCTCAACTTTTTTTTTTCTTAAAGAATTATCTGTGGAGGATTTCAATCAGGTGCTGTTAGATGTTGCCTCATGGTGGGAAAAACATGGAGATGTTAATTTGCTGAAACTATTACTTTGCGATTTTAAAGAGATTACTGTGGGCAATATACAGCATAAAAATGAGCCAAGGGAACTGCTGAAATTACTCGAGGGACCTGGACATATTAGCCGATCGAACATTGATGTTCTCGTCGAGGCTATTAATTTGGGTGGGTTGCAAGGTGTAGAAAAACTAATCAAGGATAAGTTAGGCCCGAAGAAATTTCCGGGATTTAGGAAAATTATAAATCCTATATTCTCAATATACAGACGTAATTTGGTAAAATTTGGTCAAATATTAACGAATAAAAATAAGGCAAAAATTGGCGATTTATACAGCTTCAGACCCGAACAGTTCGAAGATCAATGGGTTCTAATATTTGAGCTAGAACGTGCTGGGATACTCACTGAAGAATCGAAAGATTCATTCATTATAAAACTTAAACAGAATGAGATGACAAGCGAAGCCAATATATTTGTAGACAAAAGCGATTTGCAAAAATAAAACAAGATAATTCTACATAATATGATGTATAAACCACAAAATTGTCATTAAAAACATGCTTTGTTTGTATGCATTTAAAAAAGATATTTTACTCTAATTTCAGTTACAACTTGCCCTGCATAAAATGTTACTTGTATGTTTTATCAGTATTATTGTTTATGAATAAAATAAAATGTAAATTGTGTAATTTAATGACAGAGTAATCGTTTTATTGTATAGTACGCAGGTTTTTTTTATATACATTGTAACATTTTTTATCTGTGTATTTATGATACATTGAAAAGACTGTATTATTTTACTAGGCCATTGTAAACTTCTAATAATAACCCTGGGTTACTACAGTATTAATTTTGATCGTTTTTAGGGTGGGTTACTATTAGAGTAGGGTTTACTATTAGAGTACCGTAGTGGAAAGTATAATACATACTCCAAGTATTGAAATACACGCCATCGTGTTGGGATTCAATATTTCGACATTAATTATGTCATCATCAGGGGAGTACCGTAGAGGGTTATTATTACTAAGCTTAATGTAGGTACTTAAAAATATTGAACCCACACCCTCAACTTTTTGTGTCAGCAATTCGTAGAAATAAATAACTACAATACGAGTAAAATAAAACTTTAATGTTATGTATGAACTCAAAAACACATGTCAGAAGACTTCTTGGAAATTGAAAAACTGCCAGATACAATACTTTTACAAGTGGAAGTAGTGTAAAAAGGTTTTTTTTTTTGTTTTTTTGGTTACATGTCGCCGAAGAAAAGTCGGAAAAATATTGGTTGTGGATGAACTATCAAAAGTTATACTGAAATATCTTTATATTAAATTAAAATCGGAACAATCCGTTAAGCAAATTACAAAGGATTAAATTCATCAACAGTCACATTGTGAAGAATGAATAAATCGTGTTAAAGTGACAAAAATGTTGATTTGAATGTCATTTTGTCTATAGTTTTGGTAGCTCTAATAGTAATCCGGTGGGATATTATTAGGTGTGAGTTATTATTATAAATTAACTTCTAGGATGTAATCGGTTATTATTAGAAGTTTTACGGTATTACGTTTCTAATATATTAATTTATTACCATTATGAGTAGAGAAACATTTATAACTTGTGTTACTCCCCTATCAGGGAAAATGGCTAATAAAAAACGAATGAAGTAGGTTCTACAAAAATTAATATAACGAGAAATTGCAAATTACAAGTGAAGTGCTGCGAAGTACAACTGCATATAAATGTTCTTCAAACACAAAATTATTTATGCGAGTCAAGTGTAAATAATGAATAATAAAAATATAACAAATAATATGAGACACGACCCATTGTCTATATTAGAACACTTCTCATTGGGTAACAAAGTCGTAATTTTTCATTTTTGTCAAAAAATAGTGGTGAATTATGGTTTAGGTTTTTTTTAAAATAAAGTTTCAAAAATGTCTATGTATGTGGAAAATGTAGTTGATTACCAAAGGTTACAATTTTATTTTGAAGACTTCATGGTCTAGGAAGTGTACATTTTTTTTATGGGGCAAGTTTCCAAGGGCAGGTTTTCTAGGGGCGAGTTGACTGCCAAAGAGTGTTGCCAAAGTGCGAGCCAGCGTGTTATTTGATCACAAGTGTGAGACATCAAGTGTGAGCCAGCGAGCCATGACGTTAGAGACGTTAACGAGTTGAGCGAGGTGTCGGCTAAGAGATTTGTGGAGTACAATTCAAAAAACAACTATAGGTCTAATAATGAATTATTGT